TAGGAGCAAAGGGCATCGCTTCTAGTAACAAGTGCCTTACTAGTAGTGCCAAGAAGCTATTAGAAGCAAGAAGCTACTAGGAGCAAAGGGCATCGCTTCTAGTAACAAGTGCCTTACTAGTAGTAACAAGAAGCTATTAGAAACAAGAAGCTACTAGGAGCAAAGGGCATCGCTTCTAGTAACAAGTGCCTTACTAGTAGTAACAAGAAGCTATTAGAAACAATAAGCTACTAGGAGCAAAGGGCATCGCTTCTAGTAACAAGTGCCTTACTAGTAGTAACAAGAAGCTATTAGAAACAAGAAGCTACTAGGAGCAAAGGGCATCGCTTCTAGTAACAAGCGCCTTACTAGTAGTAACAAGAAGCTATTAGAAACAATAAGCTACTAGGAGCAAAGGGCATCGCTTCTAGTAACAAGTGCCTTACTAGTAGTAACAAGAAGCTATTAGAAACAATAAGCTACTAGGAGCAAAGGGCATCGCTTCTAGTAACAAGTGCCTTACTAGTAGTAACAAGAAGCTATTTGAAACAATAAGCTACTAGGAGCAAAGGGCATCGCTTCTAGTAACAAGTGCCTTACTAGTAGTAACAAGAAGCTACTAGTATTAATTTGAATGTTAATTTAATTCTAATAGCTTTTTGTTACTACTAGTAAGGCACTTGTTACTACTAGCGAGGCACTTGTTACTAGTAGGATTTAAAGCTTGGAGACCGAAGGTCCCACTCGGATCAGTGTTTTTTTTTTTTTTTTTTTTTTTTTTTCTGTGCTTCGAAGCATGCTTCGACGAGTGTCCAGGTGCAGGATCGGGAGATCGCCGAGCGCATTGCCAATGAGGTTTACAAGCTGATCCTCAACATGAGGCCAGCCCCTAGTAGCGTCCGAACGCTCCTAGATTTCTTTGGGTCGATGGGTGGAGTGTGCCAGGTGTGCCAGGAACCGAAGGGGGTGCGACAAAAAAGGGTGGGCAGATTTTCTTGGTTGAAAGAACACCATTTCGGCTTGTTTCGGCATGTATGTTTCAGTGAACCGGACCATCTGAGCAGGAAGGCATTGAAGGATGTCCCCGGGGGTGGAAGGTCGAAACAGGCATCAACTGACGAGTGTATTGCAGAGACAAACATGTGTGGCTCTGGCCGGTGCGTCAGGAGTGGAGACCAATTGGGACCACATTGGACCCCCAAGACTTCTCCTTCTCCCACTTTGGGGTGACTTGTTAGAACATGTCTTCAACGATTGAAGACAGGCTTTCGGGTGTCCTTCAATGGAACAGTGGCAGTATCGCTGCGAAGCAGAAAATTCAGGAAGTGACTGAGTCCTCTAAGTTTGACGGCTATTTGTTCCTTTGTTTTAGTTGTGTGGCTGTCAATAATTCATCCTGTCAGTTTGCAGAACCAGAATCACTCTTGAAGTTAGCCCTTCTTACCCCTTGATCAGTCGGCTTTCCTGCCGTGAACTGTTGGTCGTCATACCTGATTGAGTACCCAGCTGGTTCGGATCGTTCCCATCCTGCTCGGGTGATGCAAGTGGAATCGATGAATCTTGGAATCCGTGAAGAGGAAGAGGATGCTCCGCTTCTGAGGTATTACTGCTGATGGACATGATCTAGCAGACTCTAGCACAAGTTGCACCACTTGGGCAACACAATGAGATGCCCTTTTGGTGTATCTCACAGGTGGTGGTGCTGAGTTCTTGACCACAAACCAAATGTCCTCCAAGAGCTCAGATGGATTTCCGTGGATCCCTTGGATCGTGCCTTTCTGGTCCGACGGTACTGTGGTGTGCGTTCCCATGAACTGGTGGATCTGTGGAGTTTCCGCTGATTTCAGTAGTAGCGTCCTTGCTCCGTTCGTAGCGATGCCCTTTGCTCCTAGTAGCGTCCTTGTTCCTAGTAGTAAGGCCAGGAGCCCCTAGTAGCGTTCTTGCTCCCAGTAGTATCTGAAGTCCCATCTCCAAGATGCCAACAGCCGTGCGGTCGTGCCAGGTATAGCTACCCAGCCAAAGCGCTAAGGGTTTTGGCCTTCCTTGAGGTGGGTGACAAGAGGAGCCGACGACGACGAGGGCTGGTGGCCTTTTTCGGGGGAAGGTCCCAAGTTGATGAAGCCAAACGAAGGACTCCTACCTACTTGTTCCAGTTTGATTGGTACTTTTTTGACGTGTGCCTCGGAGTTTTGACGGAAACGTGCCAATTACAACCCGGTAGTTGCAAGAATTGTGGCAGTTCTTGGACCCCTTACAAAGCGTCATGTCATAGACATCCTTGCAAAGCACAGAGAGGACACTCAAGCACTTGTGCATTTTTTGCCCAGACGAAAGGTGGATTCTATTTTTCCATCTTTTTGCCATGAGCGCAGGACTCTCCGGCTATTGGTCTGGCAGCCCGAAGAGAGCAGAGACGGCGCCAACATTGTCAGAAGGGCGGGCAGTGCACAGACGAATCTTAAGCACACATCGGTTCACTTTGTCGATTGCAAGGTGGGGCAAGGTAGTCCTAGTAGTGAAAGGTTTGAGGCTTTCTGCCCCAAAAGTTACTCTCGCACCCATTTCCTGACGAGGTCAGAAGCGTCCCCCGGAGCATCTCCTACTTGACCCCGCAGGCGTCGGTCGGCCTGACCGGGGTCACTTGGGTTTCCAAACGGGAGACTTTGGTGTTTGAGCACAGATCTGCAGGGGTTTGTTGTCGGTTTGAAAGTTTAAGCATGATCACCCACGACTCTTTGTGGTACAATGTCGGAGCAACCGCCGATTGAACGCACGTGGGATCCCGAAAAGCATTTTTTGACCCGACCTAGACTGCAAACGGGCACGGAATCGTCCCAGGCCGCAGCGGAAACAATTGTGGCATGTCGCAGGGCTCAGAGTTCTGGTGCCACGCGAAATGGTGGGGAAAACCTTCTGAAGGATGCACGATATGACTCAAATGACCTTGGGGATCCAAACCCACATAATCAGCACTTGGCCGAACACCTGGAGCCATGTGGAGCCGTAGGTTCTTGATCAAGACTTGTGTAGCGTTGGTTGGCTAAAGGATCTGCTTGCACAGGGTCCCCTTGAGTGAGGAATCCAGGCGATGTGATGGAATTCGAATCAGGTATTTGCAGGTGCTGCAGGATTTCCAAGGCAGTGCAGTACAAGTGCTATAAGAACATATATATATATATATACATAAACTAAAAGCACCCATCTTTAAGCAACATCTGCTCACTCTAGGCCAACCACACCCATCTCAGTTCGGTCGGCTCCTTCAGACCTCATCCTCGCCCCGAATAGAGCTGCAGCGCGGGGACGCCGGAGCCGAGGTGTAAGTTTGGACATCAAGCCGCAAGATGTCTTCCACCGGCTCAAGGCTTGGAGGCTCTACTTGGTCCTCATGAAGAAGCCCGCACCCAAGAAACCCCAGTTGAAGAAGCCAGGGGAGGCCAAGCGGGGCCACCGGAAAGGTGGCTTTCTGTTTTGTGGAGTGAAGTGTACACGGACGAGTTGGAAATTCCAGTCACCGAAGCCAGAGTTTTGCTTTGTGGCCGACTTGAAGTCGCCAGGCGGGATTTCATGAGGGATTTGCAATGCAAAGAGTCCTCCCTCGGTCCGAAACGCTTCCAGTTTCGCACTTCCATCAGCCATACGTGTGGCTCCTTTAGGAAACTCTTTGGTTATTGTAATGGTTGGCCTGCTATGAGGAGTGACGTTTCTCGGTTCACACCTGCTCCGACTAGTTTGCCCGGTTTGATTTGGAACTTGCTCAAGGGCTGATGATATTTCATATATTCAAATATTTATATATTAATGTATGTTATATTGGTATATATTTTCTTGTAAATGGAGGTCAACCTCTCCAGGGTGATACTTGTCATGGAGTTCCTTCTATTGAAAGCCAAACAAGTCCGTCACCACAACCACCTTCGGTCACCTTTTCATGAGAAGATTGCTGTGTGTAGCTGCCCCCCTTTCTAACACCCGAGGAGTCAGGTGCTTTGTCCCGGAAAATGAGTGCCTTGTCGCGATGCGCCCCAAGAGTGCCGTGGAAAGCGGTTCTTTTGCTTCGCAAGAAAGTGCTGCGCCGAGGCTGATGCCCAACCTAGGCTCCTTGACGCCAAAGATGACGTGTGATGTGGTGGCGGCCTTCGCGAAGGCCATGTGGTGGTTTTGTTCTGGGCCCCACAGGGGTGGATGGACGACTTGTTCGGATTTTGGGAAGGTTGGGCTGTCAAGATCTGGATATTACTTTTTGGGGTTGCGTGGGGGATGCCTTCTTGTTCATCCGGTCTTGACATATTTTGTATTTTTTACTGTATATGTTTTTCCAATTCACAGGTGCAAAGAAAAGGTCGAGCTACCATATCAAAGCCTCTGGAACTTCAGTGTCAGAAATGGTTCATGTGTGGGTCACAGTTGGTCACATCAATGTGCATAGACATAGAGATTTATATATACTTATATTTTGTTAGGTTAGTTTAAATTTGCGTATTTAGTTTATTCTTAAGACTCATCAACTTGCACATGATGAACCGGTATCCAAAAACTATTCAGGACATATCACAGTTCATATTGGAAGAGATATATATATATATATCAAAATTAGCAAACCACATTGCTAATACCATTAAAATGGCATGAAAGGCAGGTTCCGGGAAAGGGGGCAATATATGTATATAGGTATATAGGTACATAGGTATATAGATATAGATACACGTACTCAAATGCTTTTTGATCTACCTGTCCTGGTTACCACATGTATGTCAGGTTCGGGGTGTGTCCTCGCTTCCCAACACCATCTCCTTTGCCGGGTGGACGCCAGGCGGGGCAGAAGGAGTTCCAGTTTGCGCTCCATGTGGAGGTGCTGATGAGTTCATTGATGTTCATGGGGTCTCAAAACTGTGGGAGATGAGACAAGTTGAACAGTAGATCTACAATGATGATATACGCTATATATATATATATTACATACTTACCCACAGACCCTCTATATATACAAATAAACTAAAGGTAAATGACACGACAAGAACTTAATTGGCATGGGGAACCCCAGTGTGTGAAGCTCAACAGATGCTTTGCTGAGGGTGCTTAGCCCTGATTTCATGATTTGGAGAACACTTGTTGAAACAAGATGAAGGCACTTACTTGAGTGGATCGGATTCACCTAGCTGACGGACAGCCAGATCCATTTTGAACTAGGCCAGCTGGTGAGATAGATGCTCAAGTGCCCTCTCGCTCGCTGTTGGGTCGACACCACCAATGGTTCAAACCACTGAGTGTCTGCTATAATATAGTGAGGATCTATGTTCAGCACTTGGGGGCACCTTCCTCAGGACTGCTCCTGGAGAGTGCACCCAAGAACCAAGGGACAAGGATCCCGAAGGACTCGCCCCGCAAGAGCGGAACCTCGTCACTCTGATCGTGCTTCCCTCTCCGTACCAGCTTCGTCTTCCAATTGAACCAGCTTTGGCTACCCAGAATCGCTACTAGGAGCAAGAAGCTACTAGGGGCTCCTGACATCGCTACTACGAACAGGGACGCTACTAGGGGCTCCTGGCCTTACTACTAGGAGCAAGAAGCTACTAGGAGCTTTTTCACTGCAGCACTCCGTGAGGCAGCGGTGGAGCAGCGGCCCTTTAAGTTTCATGCTGAGCACCTGGTGCCCCCAGCATGTAGCAGAAGGAGGGAAGAAGGAGGGCAATTGTTTTTTGTGCTAGGCACTAATGTATGTTGCACAGCAAAACGTGATGTTCTTGAAACAGGTTCTGCTCCCATCTCACAGATGCGTGCACTGAAAAATGGTTCTCACCAGTAGTTGACTCGCCGCTTTTGACGGTGGATGGGTGATTTGCGACCAGCAGGCATGTTTTGGACATTTTGCCCTTGGAATTAGTGGATGGGCATTCCACATATGTGAGTGCCTCGCTGCTGTGTGTGTCCTCAATTCTTTTTGGCGTGTGTCAATGCTTCCCACTTCAACCAGCACATAAAATCCGCAATTAAGGTTTTGTTATGTTTTGTTGGTATAGATGTACTTCAACCAATTCAGGTTTTTCTGTAAGCCAGGTTTATATCAGTTAATACAAGTATTTCTTCAACGCTTATACAGGAATGGGGACCTGCTTACAACTGATATTGATTGCTTCAATCAACCACAATTTCATATTGAATTATTTCAACCAGGGGTCGTTTCGCACTTCAACCAGGTTTCACTTAGCTTCGCTCTGCCAGATCTCCCTCCTGCGAGACTTCGCCACGCTCCAGCAGCCCTGCCTGAAGCTGTTGGGGTGCCAAGCGTGATGGGGGGCAACGGTCCAATCACTTGCCACTTCCACCCATGCCAACGTCTTCACAGACAATTGCTGAGTTCTGTTTGCACGTCGAGGAAACTAACCAACAAGTATGCTGGGACACAAAGACACCAGTTGTTGAGACAATGATCCTGAATCAGATCATGGTAGATGCTTTTTTCGGTTGTATCGTTTCATTTTTTGCAATTGCCCGTCCTTGTTTGTGACTTCTTGCCCACTTTATCATACTCCATCTAGTAAAGGATGACGACATAACGACATGCGGAGATTTTCGACTTCCAAGAGTCGTGGCTCCTGTGGCTCCTGTTCTGCGCCTCCAAATTTGCTTTCGGCGCAATGTGCTGAGGCGGCAACAGCTGCTGAAGCGACACCATGAGTTGCCTGAGTGCACGGTGAGCGGGCTGCCTGGAAGCTGAGAAGTGTTCACCGAAGTGCTCTCTGCTTCATGAACGGGATTAAGCAGTTTGTTTGTGGGTTCTTCCGTCTTTGTTGGGTACCCTATTTCTTTGCAAACCCATGTGTTCCTTCGTCGTCTGGAACCAGAGGTCCTCTCAAGTAATGATCTGAGTCAGATGACCAAGATGTTCTATTGGAGGAGGCCATCGCTATTAGGTTGGAGGCCTTTGCTTCTAGGTTGGGGGGCAGAGCGGCCTTCAAGATAGTCCTTTCTGTTTGCGTGCGGACTCTGTTTGGAGCCGAAAGGTGTGCCTTGCCTGAAGCTTTAGCCGGACACCCTGGTGGCGAGATTCAGGCCGGGTGTAGGTCCTAGGTCCTGTTGGAGATCTGCTGGGAGGCTTGAGTCGCACTCACAACCCATCTCCTTGTTTGAGGAAGGGACCTAGTCCACCCGAAGGGGGAGTCTGAGAAGCACATGTCGACACAGAAAGTAGAAAGTCTCGCAACTTGGACTGGAACCGTGATTCGTATGAAAGCTCCCATTGGTTGTGCAGGATGCTTGCACCACTGAAGCTTGCATTTTCCTTTTTGTCTCGTGCGTCAGTGATGAGTTGCAGGAGGTGGAGCAACAGATGTGGGGCTCTGAGGCTTTGCTTTCAGGTTGCACCGATTGCTCCACTGCATAGTGCAGAGCTGAGGCTGGAAACTATGTCGGAGCTGCTGTGCAAACCCGAAGCGCGGGGGGGCCAAGCCATTGCCGATTTCGGTGGGGAGATCATGGTGGTTTTGGGGCGGCATTCAGGCATCGACTTTGGTTTGTAGACGCGTTCATCATTTTTGGTTGGAGAGACGGAAGAAACCAGGCAGGAGAAGTGATCGGAGTGATTCTCCTTTTTCATATGAGGGAGGCAATGGGAATCTCACAGGCCCCACCAGTGACTTCTCATTCCACCAGAGAATATCTCCTTTGCAATAGAATGTTGTAAAGTATCGAACTCTACTTCAGAACTGGGAAACGTGCCAACTGCAGATACACGGGTTTGCGTGCGACATCCAGAACGATGTTGGAAAGATTTGCACTCCTTCATAGAAGCAGGAAGAACATCTACAGAAGCTTGAACTTTTGCTCCTTTTGTCATAACCCAACGATCGCGTGAGATATATTGGATAGCTTGGTTGGGAAAAGGACTGCAACAGATATCGAGCAATCGAGTCTATGCACACCTGACAAGTTGAAACAGCAAGCTCTTAGATCGATCACATCACATGCGTGGCCTTTCAAGTTGGTTCCTCTTTCTCGCCCACGGCCATTTTGCTACAGGTATCAGCTGCCGAAGGATGGACGAGTTTTTCGTTCCAAGGACCGATCCCGTTCTTTTCTGCCCCTCGAAAGTGTGGGCGCCAAGGGCGAGTCTTCTGAGCATTGAGATGTGAAAATGCAGCACGTGGGTTGGCAGTAAAAAATCATATGAGAGTCGACCGAAACCCCCAAAACAGAAATTTAGACCAAACGCACATGTGAAAATCAGACCGTGTATTTTCATGTGTTTTTCTTTGGTGAGCGCAAGCAGCCGCAAGGGCGAGCGCAAGGGGCTTGGTGATTGGAACTTAGGTTTTGGCAACCCCCCATATAAATTGGTGAGTCGAATGGACGAATCTATTCGACTTCGGATGGAGAAGCTGGTAATAGAGTATATGAATATAAAAAGCTTTGGTTGGGAAACACCTCGAACATTTGTGAGTTGCTGATGCTTTGCGCAGGATGATTTTTGGTGGCAACAAATGAGGCTGCGCTGACTCGCCGACCTGCGCCTCCTCGATAGCACATGTTCCGTTCGGAGCTGGCATCGTGGTCCCCAGGCATTGAGGTCTTGCTTCCCAGAGGTGCCACATCTGGTTCTTGGATGCGAGCGAAGCCCAGAAAATGCAGTGCCTCAGTTGGACCCCCTACCAAGTGGGCTTGAGCAAAGTTGTCCGTTTTCCAACTTTGAACTGTGGATTCTTCCTTCTTTTGTTGCAGAAAGTCGATAGCCAAGGGGCCTACATGTTGCTAAGCACCACACTCTACATACAGATCTGCCTCCCAGGCAGCGGCATTTCCGTCTGCGTCGCAAGGCCCTGGAAAGGGGCAGTGCGGTGGCCAGGGCCTGAGGTACCTCCTACCTGTGCTCGACTCCTCCTACTCCTACTACTACCACCACAAAAAATGAAATAACAACAATGACAATATTAGTAATAGTAGAACTTAGAAGTAATAAATAATCAACTGCTCTAGGACTAGGACATACTTTCTAGACTTGTTAGAGTCTGACTCCTGCTTTCTCACCGCTTCAGGCGCCAGTACCAGTGGTGAGGGAGGCTGGGGATCGCGACAGATGGATAGCCGACTCTCAGGTGACCATGAGTGCTTGGCAACCCTCCACTCTTCCGTCATCAAACATCCGAAACCATGTCAGCGTGTTGATGTTTGAAGATGCCAAATGATTTTTCAACTGCCCAGTTGGACAGCGATCTTTCTTTCAAGAGGTCTGACAGTGTTGTGCACAAGTGATGTCAAAGCATGCACATTTCTATGTCTTCTTTGCGTGCCCTTCGTAGATGCTTGGTGTGGGGCGTTGGTGGAGATGTTGCTCAACTGAAAACGCGCATTTGCAGAGCAGGGCACCTGCAGTGGCAATTCGCATCGACCTTTCAAAAAGAACGGAACCCTTCACAAGACTACTTGCCTCAACAAACTGGGTCTGTCAGTCCCAATTCCATGTTTGTTGAAGACGCTTTCCCAAGATTTCTAAAGGGCCCCTCAGACTCCTCCGCTCTTGCCGCAGGTCGCGGAAGACCTGCAGCTGACGCCTGCGGTGGTCTATGTGAGTCGAGAGGCGAGGGGAAGTTCAGACTGGCAAAAAGCGCAAAATGGCCATTTGCTTCTTGTTACTACAGTAGTAATGCCAGGAGCTACTAGTAGCTTCTTGTTCCTAGTTTATTTCAGTTTCTGTACCATCCAAGTTTGAAGAGACTGCTACAAGATCTGGAAGGCACCGATGCCATGTGCTTTCGCACTGGGAAGCAACGTCTTAAAAATAGCTTCGAACAGATTCAACACCAACCTCTCCAACCTAGAAGTGATGGCCGGCCTCCAACCTACTAGTGATGGCCTCCAATCTACTTCCAACAACCATGTTCATTTCTTGAAGCTTTTTGAAACGTCTTCCCCTTCGGACCTTTTGGCACCAACGAGATTTTGATTCGTCGGATTCGCGGCACGAGGAATGTTTGCAATTGGTCACTGGTTGCGCCAAGATGGCCAGGGAAGCCAAGATCACTCCGACAGTTTTGACTGACTTCGTGCGGTGTTGTCTGATGGGATAAAGAAGAACAGATTGATAAAGATGGATGATACGTGATGATACTGATCCTGAGTTTTGTGAGTCTTTGGACTTTGCTCAGCCTTCAACCCACTTCCAAGGAGGAACTACTGTATACTCAGATTCAATTCAACAACGGAGTAGCTCAGCTTAAAGCATCTCAAAGCAAAGCTCAAGCAAGAGTCTCCATGGATACCTGCAACCATAATCGAACTTGGGCTGGCACGCCTTTAACTGCAGACGCTGTTGTGAAGGTTCAAAACATGGTTCAGCTGCTTAGCCCCGTTGTCTGGAATTCCTGTTTTGGAACTTTCACTGCCCCACAGTGTGCAAGAAGAAACTGTACCATGCCATATTGTGACTAGGGGCCTCCGCGCTTGTGTTGACTCTTCCCAGGACTGGCATCATGAAAAGCTGCTCCAGGGTGCCAGCAGCTGGCTGTGCGAGGGCCGCCGTGGCTTGGATGAAGGAAAATGTCTAAGGGGCCTGGTATGGCTGATAGGGCAAGTTTGGAGCCCTGTGGGCCCCCCCCATCTTCATCATCATCATCATCTTCTTCTTCTTCTTCATCTTCTTCTTCTTCTTCTTCCCCCGTGCTGTGATCACAAAACATTGTTCAAGACTCCTGTGAACCCGAAACGTCTGTGAGTGCGGCGCCACGCGGCTCGACCTGGTGGTGCCATCGAGAACGGGACGGTGGTGCCGGGCGTTTTTGGACTCTCGGGGTGAAGCCCAGGTCATGCGGAGCTGGAGCCACATGAGGCGTTCGGAAGTCACAGGTTTGTGGATGTTGATGTGGATGTGGCCGAAAAGGCAAGAAAGAACACAACCCCCCTGCACAGTTCAGTTTGATTTGTTTTTCTGTGTGTGTTTTTTCCCCCTTTTTTCCAGTGGGTCTCGATGGTGCCCCATTTGTGAGAGATGTACGCGCAGTGTTTCGATGTGGATTTGACCGAACTGTGAAGGCACAACTGTGTGAAACTCTCCAACCAGTGGATTTAGGAATGGATTTGGTCTCTTGTGGTCTAAGCAGAGATGAGTTGGATTTGGTGAGTGTGGATTTGCTACAAATGTTTGACACAAGAATCATTCAGGTGGAGCGTTTTCTTCAGGCGACCTGAAACCTTTCTTGTTTGGGCTTGGAACAGGGCTTAGGACGCGGTGCTGTTGACATGGATGGGGCGGGTGGCTGCCTCTGAAAATCTGGCAGTGCAACCTGGATGTTTAAGAAGACGACCAAAAGAGTTGCTGAGACAGAAAACGGCTATATAAAATGTGAACCCCAAACGAGGTTTGTTTTGGCCTAAGACCCCAGGTCTTTCCCATGCTCACCCCTCCGCCCTTTGCCCCGAAATGTGTGGGAGAGCTCTTCCTTGGAAAGTCCACTCACCAACCTGGAGAGCCACAGATTCAACTTGTGATTTTGGGGTGAACTCATTTAGTCTTTGAAACTTCCACTGGTGTTGAACCAGCATGAAGAGATTTGATCGAATGCCCAACAAAGAGCACAGAACACCGCTCAGAACGGCTATATACACTTGAGGTGGCAGAAAAGGAAGATCCGACCGGCCTGCTGCATGTCATTCTTGTGGAGTCAGCGATCTTGCAAGGTTGCGAAGTTCTTGCAGGGCTTCTCAGATTTGGGCTTCGCACAGCCCTTGCTGCGGGCATCACTGGAGCACGTGATGGCACCCAGCGCAGTCCTGGGTGCGATTTCAGGGAGGGTTCTTGTGTGGTTTGCATGAGCAAAACAGCCAGTATGGGTACTGGTCCAAAACCCAAACACCCTTTGTTTCGCAGGATAGACATGTCTCGTGGCAAACCTTTGCAGATCCTGAATCATTTGGGGAGTTCAGTCCAGCTCCTAGGTCCAGAATACCTTACAAAGGAAAGGACTTTTGAAACTAGACTGCATGGGGTTTCCAAAACCGTTTTGTTTTGAACATTTGCTCGAACAGATCTGGAGATTGCTTTTGGACACCGAGCAGGTGCCTCTTGTGCAGCCGACCTGCTGTTGGATCGATGATTTTCAAGACACTCATGGTTGGTGCACACTGCAACCACCAATTCCAGACCCTACTCTCACAATCTTTCGCAGGAAAAGTGTTCGTCCAAGTTCTTCCCAACCCCCTCAGACCTCGTTTCTTGAGCCCGGAGCCCAGTGGCCCAGGCCCTTTTGCGGGTGGATGCCTCGGATGTCGGTGTCTGTTTTTGCTGGTCAACCCAGTAGACCCAGCTTTCACCCACAGCCACAAAACGTTCATGAGAATAAGGTGAGGAAGAGGATGGGATGCTGAACTTTGTGAGAATAACCGCATTCCTCAAACCCGATGGTAGAATTGACACGTAAACTCCAGCTAAACATACACGAGGCAATGACCATGCGTTGACACATGTCATTAATTTCTGCGATCGGGGCACTCTGTTGAATGGATGACAAGCAGTGGTTTGCATCGCTGAAAGAAGTTATTTTTCTTGTTTCGAAGGGTAGATGAACTCGAGGCTTGGGTGGAGGGATTGTAGGTCGGAGTCTCCTGCCCAGGTGGCTCCTGAGATGCCGCCAGATAGCTGCACTTCAGCACTGCAAGGGGCATTGGATGTAGGCGCCTTCAACTGACTGGACGCAGATGTCAGATTTCTTACTGAGCTAGTGAACAAATGGAATACAATTGTCCTCCACAGAAGGGCTCCCAAAAAGTTTTGTCCAAAGAAGGTATATAACTAGAAAGCTCCTCCATATTGTCAGATCCTTTCCCTTCAGGCTCACAATTTTTCACTATATTATATTGTTTTTGTGGTGATTGCAATCATCAATAGTCAATAGTTTACATCAATTGTTACTGCAAGAGGCATATGATGGTTGGTGAGCGTCCCCCGCTCTTCTTACAGGTCCCCTTAACAGGTCGTGGTCTGTTGGGTGACACGAGCCGCCAGGGATGTCCGTACGCAGCACTGCGGTGCGCTCACTGCCGCGCGGCCAAAAGGTTTCCCAAGCTTCTGAAACATGGCGGAGGAAAAGTTCCTTTTTTTTTCCAAACGATCAAGAGCGGGTAGATAGACAGTTCTCGTTCATAGGTTGGCAAATTGAGGACAATTCAAGACACATTTAGTTCTTCGCCCATTCACATCGCTTCCGTTCTTGAAAGTGTCGATGCCTGACTCGTTCAGGTCAAATAAGAGATTGGATTTGTCGAGATTCTTCTTTTACTCTCCTGAAAAATCATGTATATCCCTGTAAAGGAATAAAGGCAGAGTTTATATCTTTTTCGGGGGGAATAGACTAGTGGAAAGATGCTGAAAGGGGACAAGTGGTGTGTGTCGAGGATATGTCACAACGTCAGCAATGTTTTGTGGAGGAATATCAGGAGGGACGTGGGGACGTGTGCTCAGGGAGCCGGGGTAGTCCTATGTACAAGAAGCATGGCTAACATGGGTTTGAGTGACTATATCTTTTGGGGGGTTGACCTGTTAGTGCAAGGTTTAATTTTGTTTTTTTTATATTGGCATCGGAAAGGACTAACATAGCCCTCTAAAAGAGCATGGAGTGTGCCATTGCACACCCAGAATGACAACATTCTTGGTCGTCCTATTTTCTTGAAGCTGTACTTCAGACCAATAGTTACATTGAATTCTTCGGGAAAAACGGAAGGTTTGGATATGCTAGTTGGGGTCCCCGGTGCAGCCACGGATACGTATATATTTTTTGGAGAGAGTAGATCTTGAAATGGAGGGCCAACATGTGATTCGTACTGTTCCGTTGCGCCTCATTTAGCAGGCTTCCTTTGCAGATCTGATTTTGAACATTTAATGTGTGGGTTGTTCGATCATTGTCCATTTTCTGGAAGTTGGGCATTTTTCACGCGGTCCAGTGAACCTACCCCCATGCAATCAACTTGCTTCACCAAAGTTTCAACAATCACACATATTGGATTGAAGATTTCTCACGGCTGCCACGCTGAGAACGTTGAGAACGTGTCCACCCAGGCTGCGCCGCTGCAGCGCTCGACTTCGGCAACTCTCCGCAGCCGATGCCGCGGCACCAAGGGCGAGCGACGGTCGTTGGCGTCGTTGGCCCATGTAGTTATTTTGACCGGAGAAATCGTAGACTTTCCAAAGGGTGTTGAATGGAGATCCAATTGTGGATAGATAAATTGTATTAAATTGTCATAAATTGCTTTGCCGTTGCATCGTCCAGGTATGTCGGGGTAAAGGAAGATCTCCCCTGCCTATGATTGACGATGTATGCAGTGATGTAGGGTTTGCCATTGTTTTCGCAGATCATTTTTCAAGGTTTTCAAATTCGAAGCATGCATCCTAAAGCCTTCATGTGCTGGAAGCACGGCTGAGCTTTGTCGGGTTTCATGCAACTCTCTCGCTTCACCGTCAGTAACTCAATGCTGTTTTGGGAATGCTGGGTGAAATGCAACTCGTAGGCGGTCGTAGGCTGACTTTGATGGATTTCATTTGTAAAAGTTGCCTTTCCTGAAACAATCACCTTCGCAGACTGACGCCTGCCTTTTGGAGATTCGATGAACTTACGATACCATCCTCCAGCTTCTTGTCAACGCTCTTAGGGGAAAACCAGCTTGCAAGGTGTTGGTCGGAAAAAGCCAAATCGTGAGGCATCCAACCGCATGGGTGTGGGTCAGAATCTGGTGCGCAAGACACATGCCTGGTCCAGATCCTTCAAACTAACTAAGGCAGAGCAGCTGCGACAGCTGGTTCACGGCTGAGTATAAGGGGGCAGAGGAACCAACAGACGAGAAGACGTGTCGTTCTTGTGTCAGACAAGACGCGTCGTTTGTCAAACCAAACAAAATTGTATCGATAACACTTAGCCGGGCAAAGGCCTGTACGTTCAAAGGTTGCAAACGTAAAATGGTCTTGCCGCTTTGCCAGTATCGAAAGTCAACTGCACACGGTTTCAGTCGCCCAAAAAAGTTGAAGACTATTTGCTGTAGAGAAATGGATTCACACCCAGCATCAATTTCAAACCCAAGCTGCTAAAGTGAGGCGAACAAGCTTCAGAAAGAAGATATAGCAGCGAAAATTCATAGGTTTTGTTACAGTAAGTGATCATTTGTTCTTTTAACCCTAGGTGCATGTGCGGATGTAGCCATCATTAGCGATCACTAACCATGGAAGTTCTCCAGTTAGACACCTGTTTCTTTGTTTTGGGTTCCTTTTGTATGTAGACGCGCGTGCACGCACAGCCCCTGCTGAGTGGAGGGCCGCATCCATGTGTGGTTAAAAAAAGAAATTCATAGGGCTTCGTACACCGCACCACTTTGGGGGCACAACTGTTTGTTTCCGGGCTCCATTGGCGGGAGTGGGGGTTTGGGGGCATGATGGTTTGCATTGTGATCAGCAATCAATACACTTTTGCAATCAATACAGGAAAGAGATGGGTTCGCGTTGCAGGAGCATAGAATTCGGTTTGGCGTTTGCATAAAGTTTGGAGATGTTGCACGAACATGCGATGCACTGGTTCAACTGCCAGCATTTGACGCGCTGTTTTGCGTGATGCGAACATTTGACACATCGCTGAGCTCTTTCACGATGCACCAGCATGCGACCTACTCCTGGAATGGGGTGCATTCCGCACACTGCTACATAAACTGTTGCGAACTTTTGGGAGTTTGTTTAGATAACCGAGAACAAAGACCATCTGCACAATTCAGTGCAAGAAAAAAGGCATTCGGAGTGAATTTGTTCGTGGTCAGACTCTTCTGGTGGAGTTGCTTATTTCTGTACCAATTCCTGTTAGATTTGCTCCAAGCGTCCCTCTAGTGGGGAACAGATGCGTGTTTACGACCCAACGGGGCGTTTTTTTGTGGCTCAGGGATCATCATTTTCTGGTTCTCTATTTCCGAGCTTCCGCTCCATGAGTTTCAGTCAATAGAAGTTTATTCTTCAGGAAATGGGGCCTTCTCAGAATTGGACTTCTACAGTGCAAGCATTGTATTGCTTTTTTTTCAGTGCAGCTTGGCTTGCCTGAAGGATGGTAGAAGTTGTATACTTTCACCTTTCGAAACCCTGGCGTCGGTCATGGCTTATCCTTTTGAAGTATCCCAGCTTGGGTGGCGGAGGATTCTTCCATTACGACATTTTCACTCCCCAGCTTTTGACCCTTCTAGTACAAGCCGTATGACCAGAAGGTTGTAGGCTCCAAACATGGCCAAACAGTGGGCTTCTTTTGAAGTGCCACTCCCCTTTCATAGATTTCCCATGTGCCGTTGGCCATGATGAACCGAAGGTATTGAGGCACGCAACCTTTGGTTAGAGAGTTTGCAATCGTAGCCCTTGTCTCGACCCACCTTATAATGCTTCCGCAGCATGCACCCAGAAAGTGTATTCATCTTCTTGATGACCCAATGTGACCGACAGCAAGAGTCTCTATGATTCCTTGAAGCGTGATGCTTCCATTGCAGCACAGTTCCGCGACAAAACATCGCTATATATAGACATATCTGTGCTGCGTGATGAGTTCAATCGCCAACGGTCAGGAGTGGATCAAGCAAGATAGGAAGAGAACAACTTTGCATGTCGTCCTTCAACAGATAGGACAGGTTTCCAGTATCAATATATACATTTTCCCAAGACTTTTTTCAAAGATTTGTCCTCTTAGTTGTTTGGGAGTCACACACGTTGTAGGCAGGTCTCCGTATCAAATTAGGCACCGCAAAGATCGGGTTCAAACTTGTGAGCAGGTGAGGTCAGGTAGGGCACGAAGTGCCAGGGAACTTTGGCCGCAAACTCGTGATCCCTGATGTCACAAAGGGATTCTTTGAACGCTGTTCGCAGAGTGGCACAGCCCCAACTTCATGGGCCCCCACTTTTGCCACCTGAGACTGTTGAACAACATGGACGTGACAAAGCCTCCTCACAGCCAAGATTCTACATGGAAGTGCCCGTTTCACTTCCATGTTTCCAATCAAGGACACTTGGGGCCTACCTGCCTGTACAATAAGCTACAAACAGCAGAAGCAAGAACGCACTTCCATAGGGTGCCGCCTCGCGGAGACCGTCTGCTGACCGATTTGGCCATGGAGAAGGAGACCGAGCTGACGCAGTTGGCAGCTGCGAGTGTCCAGGATGAGTGGTGTCAACTACTCATCCTTCGAGAACAGGTGCGACGGGCGACGGGCGTAGAGGCAGCAGATGGCTCGTTTCGTCGGGCGAGACTACAAGACTTTCCCACCAAGAATGTTTATGTATTTTTCTCTTTCCCACTCTCTCTCTCTCTCTCTTCCGAAGCCAACCTTCATTTAGGTCCAGTGCAGTTATGTATATAGATCGAGAGTTTCATGTAGTCACGTCATTTTGTGATCTTTTTCACAGCGGCGGACAATCATGTTGCTGCTACCCTCAAACCATGGGGTTTGAAGCCGCAGGCATGTGATATTTTTGTTGCTTTCCAGATGGGAGTGTTGGAGAGTGAAGTTGAGAGATACATTTCTAACACAAATTGCGAGTCAAGGATAATGGTTTGGGAGCTGACTACGAATTCCACAGCAGACGTTGCTAGTTTGCCAAGGTAGCTTCAGAGTAGATGGCACACAGACAAAGACTATTCTGGACGGATATCTATATATCTACACCAGCTAACTTGGGGTTCGATCCATCTACAGGCTCAGCTTCCCTAAACATCTAGGAACCAAATCATTAGTGCGAGCGCTTCTTCAAGGAAGCTCCCCCTCGCCGAGCTTCCTTGAAGAAGCATGACCTATCCTGCGTCCATACTGCGAGCTTAAGTAGCTAGGAGCGGGGTATACCCCTACCCCCCCACACCGGCACAAAGAAAGGTAAAGGAAAGCAATGACTTCAACCTCCAACCTCCTTGCATAAGCCGTCCGTCTTGGCCGGATGCGCGTGTTCACAGGTTGCGAAGCGAGAGAAGCAGGTGACCCACTGGCGGCATTTGAAGACTTTGGCCGCTGAGTCGGAGCGCTGTTCTCAATGCGACCTGGCTGCGTGTGACACTGTGACACCCACAGACGTCGGGCCTAAGTGATTTTTGGGTTGCAGGTGTAAGGTATGTGCAAGGGTCGGGTGTAAGGAGTTTATACAGCTTTTACACAGTGTGACTATGACCATAACTAATCCGTTTGGATTTGGACCAGTACATTGAGATAGACGGCTCCGCCTGGGATCTATCAAGATGGAGAATCTACAACTCTTGAAATGATGCGCATCATAGAGGTTCAGAGGTTCCCTGATTTGGAGGTCCACAACATATTTGTACAATATCATAATATTATCTCTTCTTCCTTTGTGAGCCAACCTTCAGCAACCTTATCCAACCCGCATCATCTTTGACCAGCTCGCTATATCTGCCTTCTTTCCACACCGCGGGGCCGATGAAACCGCGCTGCTCGAAAGCTGCCGCCCACTGGGCACCGCGAGGTGACATGGGCTTGTTGGGCCTCCAAACGATCCTGGTGGCACTTCATCGACTGGGCGAGCTTTTACTGGAAGCCTCCGAGGAGACGGGGGGCACCCAAACCCGGTGGAGGGGCAGATGCGGGATGGTGCAGTGGATCTGAGTAGCGACTGTGTGGCGCCTAAGGTTTTGAGAAGGACTTGCAAGTTGCAACACCTAAGTTCACCCGTTGGCTTTCGGAAGATGGTCGAATGAACCGAACCAGCGCAGGAGTCCGTTTTTTCAGGCCTCCAGGTGGTCATTCCAAGTGGACGCGCGGACTTGCCGAACTTCCAGGGCATTCATTCTGTCTGTGTAGTACCCTTTTTTTGGTGGGAGATGAAAACACAAATGCACGCTGTCAGACCTGACAGACCATATTATAAGGAGACTCACCTTCTTTTCTGTAGTAATCCGCAAGTATTGGACGTCGGTGAAAGAAAAAGAAGCACATTTGCCGTCGAATTCAGTACGTACCCTTCAGCTTTGATCACCACCTGGAAGATGGGATCATGCAGAGTCAAGTCAAGAGACATCAAAAGACCACTTCAAGAGGACCTGGTCAGTTTGCTCCGTGTTCTCTTGAAAGCTGGGGTAACCGGGTAACCCATCAGGCTGGGTGGGTTCGACTCACTGTTCACCAGAGTGTTTCCACAACAATGGGACCCTCCGCGCCCCAGAGTGGGGAGAGATTCGGAGAAACCGATCGACGAGGACTTCGACTTTCCGCGTGAGACCTTAACCACGCTGGCCGAGGCGATCATTGGGACCACACTGGCTGGGCGGAATCAATTCCTTAACCCATTTCTTGGTCAACACGTTTGGTCGTGATCTGGCTGCTCAAAACCGAGAGGATTCCGGTTCTCCAAGGATCCAATTCGTAGAATAGACCATCCCACAAAAAGACCTCAGAAAGCAAGGGGCTAGGCTAGTCTATTTTGCCCTGGGTGAAAAACTGGAAGAGCCAAACATCAACATCAGTTCAACAAACACATGGCACTCAGACCATCTCTTTCTCGAAATGAGTATGCACCAGAATAGGGAGACCCTTCTCTCACCATGTTTGATTTGTTGTTTCTTTTTTTTTTTTTTCAGAGCCTCTTTGAGGCCGTGAACATGTGCAAATCCTGATGCTCAAGTCTGCATCATCTCAGCGACATTCATCAAGAGACGGCCCTTCCTTGTCCTTGGTCCTATATAGGGACTTTTTGGAATTGTTTCATGTTGTTTGGATTGCATCAACGGGCTAAGACCCTCTGTCGCTAAGCAATCACAAAAAAGTCGATTCTTGGATTGTCCCGTCATATTCTGCTTCAGTATATCTGGATTATTTCTGCGTCTCACACATGATTGTTCCGCCCGGTGCGGCAGATCCTGAGCAGCACGGCGGAAGACTTGCCCAGAGAGGGCTCTGCGACCTTCCCAGTGTTGCAGTTCCAGCCGCTTGATCGGGGTGCAGGCTGTGGGCCCACACCACGCCCAGTGGAGGGTGTGATGTTGGAGGGTTTGTCTTTGTGTGCATTGGTCTCATGTACTGACTGCCAGACTCTTAACTCTTCACTCAAGTCATCTCAAGTCTCAAGTGGCAGTTGATCTGGAGGTTGCTCAAAATCGTCTTTGGGATTGGTTCCCCAACAGTTCCATTTTCAACCCCGAACCCGTAGGCAATACGTGGAATCCATGCTAACTCTTATTGGTAGTTCTATAGAGGATGACCGAAAAGTGACCTTCGAAAGTCGACAGAAGTCCCAAAGTCGGTCAACCTCAGTCCACATCTGTGGCTGCGGAACGGCCCTTTGCGGCCCCTGCCCCGGTCCAGAAGAGGTTAGATGTTTCAACGGCCCAGGCTGCAAGAAGTCTCCGACTACCTGGGAGAAGTGAACTTGACACCGCGCCGGCGCGCCGGCCAGCCATTAAGCGGCCCTTGAGCCTTGCGCCCAGTCAATCCAAGAAGGACGGAATGCGGAAATTATGAGTCGTGAAAAGAGTAGATTCTGAATCCGTTGGATTCATTGGGTCGGAACCCGGAGTGCCTTTTGGACAGAACTTGTGTGAATTCTGAGAATTTTATGCGTTAACTTTAACAGCTTCTTTTGTCCGAAGGGAGTCTGTGGAAACAGTGCTTGTGGTGGCTGTGGGCATGGCATGGAAAGAGAAGGATGTTTGGATCAGATGCTTGAACCTGAAATTGAGAAGGACGTAGACCACCACCAACAGCATAATTACTACAGGCCATTTGCTTCGTGGATGCCTCCAAGGCTGCGATGAGCATGTAACTCCTTAGCAGTTCATCAGGATGGCTTGATGATGGGTCACCTTGATACCTGCGCAGGATTGGGCTGCTGCGCGAGGACTCTGCTAGCGCACGAAAAGAGGTGCCAGTATTGCCAGAGACTGCAATATCATAGGCCAGATATGTACCACCCCAGCTGTTCAGAGCAGACAGTGAGTGAGGAGCGTCTGAATAGTGAGCAAGCCAAAGACCACGAATTAAAAGGCATTTGGCCATCCTGATCGAATCAGGGATTCTCAGGATAGGGTTCACGACAGCTCCCTTGGTCTGGCACACCTGAGGAGCTTGCCTGATGCTCGAGAAATCACTTGATTGACCGAAGTGGTCAACCACAGGTTCAGGAGTCACCAGATCTAAAAAAACAAATAAGTAATTAATATAAATAATATACATGCATACAAATATATGTATATACATGATACATGTGTGTGTGTGTGTAAAGCGGGCGACTCGTCCATGTGAACTGTACCAATTCCTTCCTCTTGATGGGTTCCACCACCTGATTTGGCCAGACACCCAGGTTTGCCTCACTTCCTCCAGCCCCGGGGTTACCACGTCGTACCGGGTGCCGAGGCTGCGGTGCTGCTCCAGCAAGCTGAGGCGGAAGTTCTCAGCCAGCACAAGGCGCAGAGGGTTCACTGGGTCGGGGGAGCTGAGATCAATCAGATTCGACCGGAAAGGCCATAGGAAAGGCCAAGTGGAAAAGCAACCTATTACAGTAGCAGGTTTTGTGACCATTCAAGGTCAACGTCGTGAAGAATAAACGAGAACGGGCAGGAGCAACTGTGCCTTCTTCACGAAGTTGGACTTTGACGATTCTTCTTTGCTAGAGATGATGACGGGAAGCTACACATGGAAAGCCCAACAGAAGAGTTCTTTCGGAAAGGCTTTTGCTCAAAATGCGATGTTCTAGAGCAGTACTGTACTGTACCTCTTTTCTTAAGATCGGAGAGCTGTCCATTCCTGTTGACGGGTGTTGATTTAATCTCAATCAGCACTGAAGGAAAGTACCACCAGCTGGTTTCCAAAGTGGTTGAGCTTGGGGGTATGGTAGTGCTGTACCCACACTGATCGCCCAGCTTTTCCATCAAGCGCCCACTGCAAACGGCATCCGGCCGCACTTCGGCCGACACCTTTAAGTCCTGTTCGTATGGACATCAACATCGGCAAAAACAATCACACCGATCAACTATCTCTTTGGCGTCAGGTTTTGGTTCAATGATATCCCTAGCAAAGCAAGGATGCCCTTCGATCTTGGCTTGGGCCCTTCTCTTCTTCGCGCTGACAGATTCAGGATCAAAAGCACTTCATCATGTTTTGCAGAATCTCAAAAGTGAAGGCTTCAAGAGGGAGTTGGAGTCCTCTGCTTCCGCTTCTACTCAGGGCATGCAGTTTTTCCACCCAGCATCAAAACAGAGCCATAGCCAACAAAATGCTAGCATTGTTGAGGACACCTTTGCACATGTGATACACAAAGCCTCCACACTTCGCACAGGCACAAAGACTCCCACTTGACCTGCAGCTGTTTCGAGAGGCGCCCAGGGTCCGAAGTGCGCAGCAGCCATCTTTCACGCATCATAGGGGTAGCTCAGTGCTCCAAAGAACGGGGCTACCTCTTTTCAACTAGACATTCAGTATCTGGAAGTAGAAAGCTGGGATCGATTCGAACATTGATCAAGGTTGGCAGTTGTTGTCGGCAGTAGTACCAATAAAGCAACTTGGGTTGGAGACCAACTGACAGACATGATAGACATGTACTGAGCCAGACATGCGTGGGGACAGGCAGTGGCCAATGAGTTAGGGCCCAAAGAGGCCAGAAGTCAAAGTCACGCTTAACGGAGAAATCGCGCTGATCGGTTCACCAAACTTCTCACTTGTTTCGCAGTAGCAGTTGTGTCATTGACTTGGGCACGGGGTGTTTTCTTCTAGGGATCTTTCAGCAGACTCTTCTCGCAACCAAAGAAGAAGGGAAGAAAACAGCAACTGGCCAGGTGTGTTGCACATTGAGTGTGTGTGTGTGGGGAGGTTTACGCTTGAGACTAATGTTCCCAGTGCATTCAACATACTCTTGCTGTTCCATTTGCCATAGGGTGAGGAAAAAACATCGCGTGGGTGTCTGCAGCTATACACCAGAAAATATCACATTCAATGCATTGTTGGTAGTTGATGCCAGAGTTGAACAGTTGTATTGTCACAACTTAGTAGGCACAGTTCATTCACCCAGCTCAGCAGGTTCGAGCAGGGGTGTGTATGTATCTACAAAGCACATGTATTCAGTTCATTTAGTAAACACCTTGTGAAATTCCAAAGGGCCTTGTTGACTTGTGCACACAGCTGCGCAGTTTGTGCAAGTTCGGTGCGGCTGCACGTGGTGTATGGTCAACCCGCATCCTGGGGCAATGGTTGTAGACTGTCTGGGTCATCATCCTACCTAATGTCTGCAAGCAGACCAGGATGGGGTGCTCGTTTGCATGTTCTGGTCCAAAGTCGTTCCTGTTTTCTGGTGTGATGCATTGGTCTTGAATGCTCGACACCTTTGCTTTCAGCGGTCCGCACCTTTGCAAGCTCTTGCCGGCCCGGCCGAGCTTGCCGCGCTGGTCTATCACAAACCTTGAGATTTGCAGGCACTTCAGCCGAAGATTGACATGACAGCACCAATGACTTGCCTCATAGTATCAAGATGTATCAAACGCCTTCCCTTTCCAGCCAAAGTACCCAGCGGGAATCGACGTGGCCTGCATTTGCCCGACCTGAAGGTGCCAGCTGTCTGAGTTGTCGATGAGTAGTTTTCTGAGTCGGTGACTTAAACATAGCGCACTCGTAATGCCAGAACCTGGCCGCGAGGATCGGGTCATGCCAAGCCCTGTCAGAGACACGGGATGGATTAGATCCGTTTGTAGGCAGTGGAGAGTATAAACAAGTTTATACTCCTACTTAATGTAGAACATTGTGTTCCCAGAGGCCATTTTGGAACTTCCATAGGTGGGGGGCAGTTTAGTGCATTTATTGGAGGAAGCTTCCCTTGGATCGCAACAAACGGCAGAGGCTGTGTTTGACAAGATTCCCACATGCTTAGTGTAGCTTTCTGTTTTCGCGTTCCGGCCGTACCCCGTTCCAACAGCCAATGCTTGACATCATATAGTTTGTCAGGGTGGCGCTGGTGCCATAGCCAGTCGATCCGACTCGAAAGGCGCATCTCGTTGGGGTGAAAACACCAACAAGGTAAGTATTCTTCACACAGTGTGTGATTCCATGTCGTGCACTGGCGACTGAAGCCTATGATGCCAATGTAAAGGTTAAAATGTCGGTGAAAGAGAAGTGGAACTGTGAGAACGCCATAGAACGCCCTCAGGGTTGGCTCAGTGGATCTTGGAGGATCTTTGAGTCTGACAGCATCTTAAAACTCTATCATGATCATCATGGTGTTGCCATAAAGCTCTCCAGACAAATTGTAATGTTTTCTTGATGGTATCAAGCGCATAGAAAGGCATGCACGGCTGACTTTCTTGGTGAAGTGATGGATGGGTCACCAGACACTACTGATGGGGGGATCAGTTCTGAGCTACTGTTGATGGAGATGTCTTCCTGCGCACATTTCTGGACACATCACCAGGATTTGCTGCTTTTGCCATGGTCAGGTGCTGCAAGACTGCCAACAATCTTGAGACTCGGCTCCCCCAAGACCGTCAACACAGGTGCCGGCGAGACAAGATCAAGGGCTGAACCTGTGGTAAGAAGAGACAGCAACGGCCATTTCTTGGAGTTTGGATTTGTCGAAACATATTTGCAGCTACGGAGGCTGTTTGCCCCTACCTGCCCCGACAAGCAGAATCCTACTGTGCTGTTTTGCGTGCCAGGTTTAGAATGACTGTGAATTTCAATGAGGCACGTCATGTCAGCCTCCGGAGGATTCTAGAAAAGATGGGCGAAGTCATCATGAGTTGACATGAGAGTTGAGGCGTCATTTTTGGAGACATGCGGCTGAGGTTCTTCCAATCAAACTCATTTGGACGGCTTCTCCACTGAAGGTTTGCATTGATACTCAACATTGGTGAAACTATTGAACCTCAGCCTGATCCCATCCCTAGGAAGTTCATTCCAAGGATCAAGCGAATTGCCTCAGCTTCGCATGATTTCATCTTCAGGCGAAATCCCTCCTTGCAGTGCCAGCGAGCTGGAGACTTAGATGGTCTCATGGCTAGGGTCCAAAACCTTCGTTTTTGAAACAAGACCATCGCTGGTCAAAGACCTGGTGGAACATGCGCAGTGGACCATCTCTACACTGCTTGTGATGGCCACCATGGGGTCATAGGTAACCCCACGACAGAGCATGTTGCTGATATTGAACATGCACGAGATCATGCGTGTTTGGTGGATTTGATAATCACCATAAAAAAACCACCAAGGGTCGCTTTTTTTGGACGTTGAGCGCCCCCCTTCACCAAGCATGCTTAGAATTCATATCAGAAGCCCGACGATTCGCGGATCGGGCATGAGCATATCTCAATTTGAGTATTGAGTATTGAGTATTGACTTCAATACCTGGATCTCCAAAGCCCTGCTTTAAACACAGTTATATAACCGCTTGTAAGAGCGTAGCTATCTCTCATCTCTTTCATAACCGCTCACCATGAGCAACGGGTGTATAGACGTTGAACTCACGCGTCCGCGATCGATCCTACATACCAACACCCCGGTACCCCCGAAAGGGAAGGGGCAGTTTTGTGGTTCCGAACTCATGCGCAAGTATCGATCGCTGGTCAAGCAGGGTCCCGCGGTTTTGACCCATAGCCATGAGTTTTGGACCTTCAACCGCGAGAGTGTGTTCCAGCTCAAGAGTTTTGGACCCTTTTTTTCAGGGCCCAATCTTTCGTCACAGCTTCCAGGTCCGATGATGAGCCCAAGGAGCGACATCAGCATGGGCAGCATGAGCCCAAGCGAGGCCTGCACATCAATTTGAAGAAAGACTTATCATACAATATCACAAATATAAGGTTGTGTTACTCCCTACCTTCTTTCTGATCGCCATGATGGGTCATTCTGTATCGCACTACAGAATCTGGGGGTACATTGAGCACTGCTCTATGGTGCAACAGTGGGAAGACTGTCGCATTTTTAACCTCTATAACCCAGCGTCGTCTCGAGGTGCCTGGCAATGAACTGCATTGTTGGTCATACTGAGTCATGCTGCTTGAAATGACTGAACATGTCATGATGTTTTACAGCGTTAGCACCATTGTCAGGACATTATCACCATAATCACGACATTGTCATCGTTTCTGCGAGATCAAGCCCGCTATCACAACAGTGCCACTGTTACCACAACAGTGTGTGTTTGATTGTTTGCACAGCATAGATGTCACATGACATAACAACATGTGTGTCTTCCTTCCATATTCATGTTGATGCTCAAACCGCCACGTGGAAATCACGGGGGCTGCCCCTTGAGAATAACGCCAGATTAGAAGCAATACGTGAGAGTATGGGTGGTGCCCCAACTCCTAAAGGAGAGAGCTGTCATGATCCATCGACTTGGTTTTCGGGTCCTTGGCTTGACACTGGGACTCTTTGGAACTTGTAGTACAAATGGTAGAACTGCACAAACCAGTTCTCCGAACACTCATTTTCTTCGCGTGCACAAATCATCGAGCGGTACGGACCGATATTTTCCAGACGAGAGCTTGCAGGGCCTTGGTGCGGTAGAGCCCCTCAAACAATTGATCCACGGGTGATGCGGTGCGGGCCCAACCTTCTAACTTTCTGCAGATCTGTTGTGGGCATCGTGAACCACCAGAAACAATTGGAGCGAACTTGCGCTGCCTGCAAGCGCCCTAAACTTGCACTGGGCCTGTCCTGACTTGGCAAGTGCCAATCTCCTTGTCCAAGATCTACCAGCTATACAGCTTTTTCATCCAACCCCCCAACCAGAGTCACTTGTGTGGAGTGGTGACCACGTGCCCGAAGGGCCGCCACGACCTGGCTTTGGTTAATCTGATGTACAGCAGATCCAGGCGGATGAAGCAGAAGCGGAACCTGGAGCCGTCCTCAGATTGATTACGCGACACCTTGCAGTGAGACTTCTTGTCTTGTTCTTGTAGAGATGTGGGTAGGGCTCAAGAAGACTTGCCCAAGATCTTTTTGGTCAAAGGACAAAATCTGGCTGAATTATAGGTGTATGTAATACGGTATAGTATATAGTATATATATAATATACAGTAAATATGACATTCAGATGCACTGGCAAAAGGATATATGCATAGGCAGACTAACTTCTATTTTTGTGCGTCACACCCATATGATCACTGCTTTAGAACTTCCTGCAGAGCTCACATCTTCGGAGAGGCGACCTGGTGCAAGCTGCTCGGAATGGGACCCTTGAAATGGTGCGCTCATTCCTGGCCGAAGCTCAGCCGGGCGATCTCGAGCGGAAGGGTCGTGGTGGCTCCTCGGTTTGGCCCAGCGGGGCCCTGCGTCGTTGGGGCTGTGCGTTTGGCAGCCGGTGAAGCGTGCGTCAGACTGAGACTGAACAAAACCATTTGTGAAGTTTGCACTTCCAGAAACAAGTCCCAACAACCGGGGATCCACATCTGACCCCGTTGGTAAGTGTGAGATCTGAGGTCGTACTGCACTCCACAACGCAGCACAGAAGGGCCGCGGGCCCGTGGCAGAGCTGCTGTTGGCCGCACGCGCCAACGTGCATGCCACAGACCAAAGCCTTACCTGTCAGGGTCTTGGACACCGAGTCATGGGATGCGAAGGATGCAGCTGTGCAGAGAGGGGTTTTGTCATCTGGGCCTGTCTGGATATTTTGGATAAGCAACTGATATGACCTGCTTAGCAATGGGAAGGTAGAGTGGCCGAGGGAGAAGGACTTGGATGAGCAGCCCAAGAATTACAAAGTGAAGCCGACTGTCACAGATGACAAACTCCCTTTGGCAGCGAGAGGAAACACGACTCATTTTCAACAGAAAGGTACCAAGACATACCTTGGCTTTTCCAAGTGTAGGTCCGGCCAGTAATGCTATGCATCAGCTGGCTTTCTTTCTCAAAGTAGTGGGGACCTCTCCAAACCTCGTTGAGAGTCCATCCAGGCAACAGGGACAGGTGACAGTTGCTGGGTGTTGGCGTGGTTCCAGTCCCAAGTTGAAGAAAGAGACCAAGCATTGAGTGGACCGTCCTGGAATTCTCCTGTCCGTCATGTCACGATCTCCTGTCCGACCCCGCCCGAGGTTGGACGCCTTTACATTTGGCAGCTGCAAAGGGCCACCCCGACGTCGTGCAAATGCTGCTGAACGCACATGCTTCGGTGGATGTGTGGAATGCACAAGGCAGAGGGTTGGGGGCGACAGGTCTGGGTGAATCAGCTGAGCAGGTCTGGTTTGACTCCACTGAGGGGTATAAGAAGAAGCAAACGGGTTGTTCTTGGCAGGACACCGGACACCCCGCCTTTGATCCCGAACATGGTTAGAATTTGCCATCCCGCCTTTCTGCTCTGTTGCCCATCAGCCATGATCAGCTTCTGCAGTGGCAGCTGAAACCAGAAACTGCACCAATTGCTCATCAGGAGTGAACGGATACTGTGAAAGGCGTTTTGTCAAAGAAACATGTTCTTGGACTGTAGAAGAGTCTGTCATAAGAAGGACATCACACCAACAATCAAACGAGAGTGTTTCTTGCAAAAATACATGTGAATCTTGCCGGGGGGTCCTTTCCTACCTTGGCCAAAGAGATTTGGTGGGAGATGGTAGATTCTGTGTTCAAGGCGTATTTCCCAACCACTTCTAACTGGTTTTGACGTTTTTTTCCAGGCGGTGCCTTGCACATACCTACCCTTGCAATCAACGACCGCCCTCAGTTCTAACGGTTCAATAATTCTGACGCTGGTCCTTCCAAGGCCTGTCATCCTCAGGGTCGAAGATTCCTGAGCTTTTGGCCAGGCCAGACGCCCCTACACGAGGCGGCCAACCATGGCCATGCTTCAGTGGTGCAACTTCTACTGGCCGCCCGAGCCTTCGTGGACGTGACCGATGATGCCAGCCCAAGGAAGTGCGGCCTCTGCAACTGGGATGGCGAAGATGGCCATGGTTGGCCAACCGACCAAGCTTGGTAACAACCATCTAGACGTCCCAGATTCCAAAATCATGGTGAGATCCTTTGGCCCAATGGGCTTCAGCCGATTTTGTCTTTTCCCAAAGATTGTTGGGAGGTCTCCCTTGTCTAGTCACGAAAGCTAGCACCAGCTAGCTGGAGTTGTCCTTGCTTTAGCAAGTGAGGGGCTGGAATCCTCGAGATCGCCGCATCACGTGAAAACTTCATATGTAGAGGGCCCCTCCCCCCGCGGGTTCAACTCCCCACTGGGACGCCTCTGGGACACCTCTTGCACACCTCTTATGGCATCCACTTTGGTTCAACTCCTCCGTGGAGGTTTTGGGATACGATGCAACAGATTCAACAGATTCACAAGCTAAGGTTGGCTGTGTCATTGCTGTTCGTATGTCTTACATGTTGACAACGTTTTACCTCATGAGCGAGACCTTGTGAACCATCCCTCCAACAGCCCCATGCCTATGAAAAAAGATTTGCCTCACTCCGCTTGATGTCCCACCAGTCCTTTGTCACTGGACGGCGCTGTATGCTTCGCCTCCACTGACACAGATGCATCCCTGCTAGCTTTCGTCCCCTACCCTCGGCCTCAAGTATACACACATCCATGCAGCTCTAAACAAGGACCAGACCGTGTTCGGAGTCAAAGTCCACCCCCAATCTGTGGTGATGCCCTCCGTGGCAGGATCTTAGGTTCACAGTTTCACGTTATATAGTTATGTAATATTTTAAATGATAACACAATTGCTCAAGGAAAGCACACATAATAGGAAACAATTGCTCAACTACAGCCTTTCCTTTGTGTGACTTGTACGTCGACTGTATTGTGGTCTGTGTGACCTTGTGTATTTTGCATCCCTAAAGCCAGCTAGTCTCTTTGTTCGCTGAAATGTGCAACCCCTTTCAGAACTCCACCAAAAGGTGAAGGGGCTGGCTGGCATTCCTGGTAACCGATTCTTTTCATGTTGATTCTGAGGGGTGAACCAGCCACACCTCTTTGGGTGTCATGGATTCTACGGTTTGATCAACAGTTCATATCGAGCTTGATGGGTCACAGGTCACAGCCAGTATGCAGCCTGTGCTTTAGCCTCCAAGAATTTCTTTTGGAGAGAATATGGCGGTGTATAGGAATCGCACTACGTGGATGAGCTTGAGCTCTGTACTCCTCCTGGGCACCATTTTGCAGGACTTCCTACCTTAGATGACCCAGCCGCGTCGCCCCAGGCTGGACACCCTTGCACTTTGCCGCAGCCGAAGGTCATCCAGAGGTGACAGAGATCCTCTTGCAGGCTAAGGCATCCATCAATGCTGAGGAGAGGTTACAGGGCCGGGAGACCCAGTGGCTGGGTCTTGGCCTTTTTTTGGGGGAAGCCGGTGAGTAATCGCATCCTTAATATGCATTTCAGGTCTATCCCCCGAGGTTTCAGGTCTTTACAGCTGGCTATCATATCCACCCTCTTATAGCTGCCTGCAGAGAGAAGCACCTTCTGAGTTCCCAACCTCCGAATTGGGAATGTGTGAAGGAGTCCGCTGAGGCGATACTCCGTTGCATTTGGCAGCAAACGATCGCCATGCTGGGATGGGGAAAGAGGGTTCCGTGGAAGGTGGGCAAACGAACCGAAACGATGCGCCAACGGGGGTTGCGTGACAGTGCCGGTTGGTTTCCAGGCTGGAGAAACCGCAGTCTATTCAGATTTGTCATCACTTATTCTGAAAAGGACGTAGGCAGATAGATGAATCCTCTTTAAACATGTTTCTTAATTCTATTTAAACCAGAGATTGCTCTATCAATTTGCTGATCACCATTCATTACACAGGTTTCACACAAATAACATATCACATATCTCGTGTCCACTGCATATTTCATGATCCAACCTGCTGTATCTTGGAGGATCTCGTCTTCGTTGCACATCGTTAGAGAGAGAAAGCTGGCATGGTCTGGTAGGTCACCACCGAGTGGTGCAGCTGCTTTTGGCTGCTGGAGCATCCGCAGATGTGCCGAACCGTCGAGGCTAGGCCGTGTGTCAGTGTCGCAAAAAGGTAAACCACCATCACTGCGACAGGACATGACCTGTGAACTGAGTATATACTGTATGTTGACAAACCTGCTGGCATGCCAGTGGTGTGCTTTGCGCTCAGCATTGCGCTGCACGATTCAGTGGATTTTTGCAGTGATGTTGGAGGGATGTGGATTTGCACCTTTTAACCAGGGGCACCCCAAACGACCGGATTCATGGATGTGCTACTGAATGGATGAACAGTACCCAGCGTTTTCAGGTACAGTACTGGTATGAGGCAATAAGACCCTTGGGTAGGTTCGGGCTACTGGCCCCGAAACCAGCGCCTTTATAACATGCTAGCAAGGAGTGGACTGACCTTCTTTTCCGTTTCCAGGCAAACATGCCCCCCAGGTTGACCACATCGCTGGATCATGTCTCAGCAGATCTCGATCTGTTCTTTTTGTCTTGATGAGGCCGAACCCCTTGCGACATTGCACAAAAGAACGGCAAGACCAAAGTTCTTGGAGCACTGCAGCCCGTTCCTTGGCGTAAACTCGGGTGGTTGAAGCGGCCGGCGGTGGTTCACCATGATCAACGTGGTGAGGTGAGTGCACTAAAGCAGGCACAGTTGCAAGTCGGTTTGCAAAAGGGCTCAATGGCTCATTTGGCACACAGTCCGGGGCGAGAAACCAGGTGAACCAGGCCTGAAAAAATACCACTCTCAGAGTATATCCTTTCTTTCCTGCCAGGTTCACGTTACTTTATTAAGTGGACGTTGCGCCATGTGCCACTTGGCCAGCAGTTAGAGCTTGAGGCTTTCAAAGAGGTACGCATAGATATTTGTGACGATGACGAGGAAAGTATATAAGTAATCCCATCCGACGCCGTTGCAATTCAAAAATAGAAGTCCGGAGCTTGTGGCACCACGCCTCTAGTCTTCGTGCGGTGGTGTGATATTTGGAAAATACATGAAAATACAATGCAATCTCAGCTGTACAGAAAGACTGGAGCATCCTCTCTATAGTGCGGCTGGGAATTCAGAGAACGAGAGAGAGAGAGAGAGA